CCCTGTTTTATCATCCGCCCAGGGGTGGGCGGCACTGTGCTTTGCACTGGGGCCTCTCAAGGCAGCTTTGTGCCGTTTTGCTTTCCTGCGTTCTTGATGCTCTGAGGTACTCATTGTAGGGGGTACAAAGATTAATCCAAAGATGCTGTGTGGTTGTTAGGATGCAAGTACTGGGGACAAAGTGACGACCACGTAGACGGTCCCACGCAGAGTGCTTCGGCTGGTGGAGGGAAAATAGTGCTGCTCTCCTGCCAATGAAACGTGGTTAGCACAATTTCCCTGTGAGTTCAAATACATTTGTCACCCACGTAATTCGGTTCACGCCAATTTTTGATCATCTACTTTGTGCAGTTTTTACTACCTGTGGGACTTAAACTGGAACTGGCCCAAACATGAAAACGGTTATGATACAATCTGTACCTTCAAGGGGCCTGTTTATAACTCGTAGGGAAGATAAACACACACAGGGCCGGCTTCACTGCCTGTGGGGCTGTGATATTGCTAGCACAGTACTGCACCGGCCGAGGGGATGTTCTGGCCTCCAGAAGATGCAGCGCACTTCGCATTTACAGCCTTGGATAAAGGGGCTCCTGCGGGCATGGGTCTTGGTTTTATTCAAGAAAAGCCTTTAAAATCATCTTTTCCAGCCTCTCTCCCCTCCTCCCTCTAGCAGACTGCATAGTGCAGATGAGATGTTCACAGCTCCCACTGTCTTTCTTACAACTTTCCTGAACTCTCTCCTATGTGGTCCTTGGCTGTTGTGCTGCCGCTCACCATGTGAATTCCTCCTAAATAACCCACTTCGCTTCCCACGGTAGATCAGGTCTGCAGGCTTTAACTTCTCTTCCTCCCTTATTCCTGATTTAAGCTGAGGACTGGCCAAAGACAGGCTTTATTTTCTGCGCATGGAGAAGAGAAGAATCTGTGAATATGCAGTTCTTTTTTTCATGGCTCAGCTGTAATCTGTTAAATATTCTGGCACTTGACATACTGTTTCCAACATCCAAACCTGAGAGGCATGCTAATACCTGTAGGAGAACATAGTTTTTTTTTTTTGGTCATTATCAACTTGCTTTTCACTTTCTTACTCTGTGGCTGATTTTGCAAAATACAGAGATTTTAAAAAAATAGTAATGCTATAAATCAACAAAAAAGCTTGTGTCTTCCTTAGGTATCTCCTCTTCTTACCCAGCCTTTCCTGAATGGAGCATCAATCTTACTAGACGACAAAGAGACAAGAAAAGATCAAAGGATCTGTGGAGATAACAAAGCCCCCAACAGTCCAGCAAGATAACAGCCGTCCAAGTTTTTCAAGTTAGAACTCACAACAACCCAGTAGGAAGAATAAAAATTTCTGGGGGCTGAGGATTTAGCTCAGTGGTTCCCCCTCCTACCTCACAAGCTCAAGGTCCCGAGTTCAATCTCCGATACAAAAGAAAAAAAAATTGCTTTACACATTCTCTACACTTGTGAAGTGTGACCTGCTAGCGAACACACTTTCCTTCTCTTCCAATGGTCCAGGTGTAACCAAGAGGCTGTATTTCAGAGGAGAAATTCTGACTGAGGCCAAGAGTCACCATGGAATTTGCTCCAGGTCTCACAGAAGAAAGCAGGGAAGTTGGCATTGAAGACATGAAAAACATGTGCTTCCCTCACAACCCCACAGCGCCTTTGAAAGGAGTGGCGAGAGAGGGAGGCTTGAGCAGTGGCATTTCAAATGGACGGTGATTCTCCTAGAGGGAGGACATGCCACCCAGAGGGAACTTCCTGGATGAAGGAAGAAGGAACGCAGTCAAGTGTGGTGGAAAGTAAGCCAGGCTGGAAATGTACAAGGGGCTGGAGGGGAAGGACTCTGAGGGCGGAGGGAAGGTGTTATGTTTTTAAATTTTTGAAGAAGAGCCTTTTGAACTGGGTCGGGGGATAGCATCAATATGGATAAAAGACAAAGCTATACACTGTAGCAGTAATAATAAAAGCACTAATAATTTTCTGGGGCAGAGATTTTTAACTTCAGTAACAATCAGTGACTAACTCAAGTAGTATCTTCTACATTAGGAAGACTTATCTGAACTTGAATTTACATTCAAATTTTAATAATATACTAGTTAACTCTCCTGTATTTTTCATTGTTGTATTGTGGGTATTTAGAAATTTCAACAATGGAGAAGGACAAAGAAATCCAGTCTACACACAATCCTGGACTTGAAGTTATATTACAAAGCTACAGTAATAAAAACAGCATAGTACTGACACAGAAACAGACACCAAGATCAATGGAGCAGAATAGAGGATGCAGAAACAACACTACATACATTCAGTGCTTTGATTTTTAATAAAAGGACCAAAAACATACATTGTAGGAAAGATAGCCTTTTATTAAATAGTGTTGGGAAAACTGGTTATCCCTCACAGAAGACTGAATCTAGACCTGTATCTCTCACCATGTACTAAACCAAAATCAAAACGGATCAAAGATCTAAATGTTAAAGCAGAAACACTTGACCTGTCGGAAGATAAAATAGGTGAAACTCGTGAAGTCATAGACGTAGGTAAGGATTTTCTAAAAAGAACCCCAGTTGCATGAGAAATATCAAGAATCAAAACTGGGACTATATGAAATTAAAAAGCTTATGCACAGTAGGAGAAAGAACCAGCAGAGTGAAAAGACAACCTACAGAATGGGAAAAAATTTTGGCAGGTATCCCTTAGAAAACGAACATCTAAAATATATAAAAAACTAAAAAATATTAGCCCCCCCAATAAAAACAACGAAAACTGGCACATGAAATGAATATACACACCAAAGAAGAAGTACAAATGGCCAACAAATACGTGAAAGGATGTTGGACTCACTGGCCACCGGAGGAATGCAAATGAAGACAACATCGAGATTCCGTCTTACCTCAGAATGACCATCAACAAGAAATCAAATAACAAATGCTGGTGAGGCTGAGGGAAAAAACAACACTTCTGCATTGTTGATGAGAATGTAAACTAGTGCAACCACTACGGAACTCAGTATGGAGGTTCTTCAAAAAATTAAAACTAGAAATTCTATTCAACCCAGCTAGTCTCTAATTATCTTCCTGAAAGAGTTAAAGACATCATATTACAGTGACACATTCGTATCTCTGTTTATAGCAGCACAATGCGTAATAGCTAAATCTTGGAGGGAGCCTATAGATCCATCAGCAGATAAATGGATAAAGAAAATATGATGTTTACATACAACAGAGTACTACTCTGCCACAAAGAAAAAGACTCAACTCATTTGTAGGACTGTGCATGCAATTTGAGACCATAATGCTAAGTGGAAAAAAATCAGACACATAAGCTTAAATATCACGAGGTTTCTCTTATATGAGAATCTCAACCTATGAATAAAGAGCAGAATAAAAGCAAGATAATAGGAAGTAGCAAGAGAGAGGGAAGGGAAAGGGGATGAAAGGAATGAAGATGTGCTATACATATATACCACCTCCACACACGGAATGGAAACATTTTATACTGCAAAGATGCACTAAGAAAAAAAAGCCATCCAGCCTACAAACCCACATGTCTGTTTGGGTGGGCATAAACTGAGACTACAGACAAAAGCACCGAACTTTCATATTTGAAGACAACAGCCATTGTTACTAAGGGTACTGACAAAAAGAACATGAGGCAGGAAACAAGTTCAGCATCCACCACAAAAGAATTGGTTCAAGTATAATACATCCATGCAACCAGAAAGGCTGAAGGTACAGTATTTTAAAAATGATATGGAGGGGCTGGGGATTTTGCTCAATGGTTCTGCCACCTGCCTCACAAGCACAAGGTCCCGAGTTCAATCCCCAGTTCCAAAAAGAGAAAAAAGGTGATATGGGGCTTTGTGTTGCCATTAAACATTGTTAAAAAGAGGTGGCCAGGCGTGGTGGCGCACGCCTGTAATCCCAGCACTCGGGAGGCTGAGGCAGAAGGATTGCTGTTAGTTCGAGGTTCGAGACCAACCTGGGCTACATAGTGAGTTCCAGGTCAGTCTCAACTACATAGTGAGACCCTGTCTCAAAAAAAGAAAAAAGAAAAAGAGGCTTATAAAACTGCATAAAAAC